TCTGTATTAGTACATTTCTTCTCCTTTAATTATACCTTTTAGTTCTTTTTCATTCCCTTTAGTGAATAACTTTCAACCCTTTTATTCTTTTTTTCCTTGATCAACAGTATTTTCCCACAGGAAGATTTCTTATATTTAATTTCAAAGTCTTCATTTTTTCCCCAAGCAAAGACATTGTCCTACAAGAAAGAATTCTAATTTATTTCAAAGTCTTATTTCAAGTCTTATTTCAAGACTCCTTAGTTCTGTTTATTACTTTCCCAAATCCATATTTAATTGTCCTACTGCTGTTTATTCCAAATAGTTAAACCCTTAAACTTACATAAAAAATATTTTGTTAATGGCTTGAAGGAGACTCCCTGATGTAATATAATGAAACTTCATGTTTCAAGGTTCTTAGTAGACAGCAGTTAACAAGCAATTTCAAAAAGTGATTCCGAAAGGAAATATTCAGACCCTGTATCCTCTACATATTGTTGAATTTTTGGATGGCAGCAGAAATAGACAGTACTACTTAGAAAGTCATTAGAAGGTAACTCAGCAATTCTTTAATTGCATTCTTTATCACATACTCTTCTTTGTCATTCCCTGAATTTTATGAAAAGTGTAGATATTGTTCTCTTTGTACTATTCTTTTCTTTTCTTTTTCTGCAAAAAATCAATTAAGCAGAAAACGTTGCACATTGCCCTTTAAAGAAATCCTAAGATTGAAGTCTGGAAGCATTCTGTCCTGTTTTTTAGCATTCAAATAAAAATTGGATTCAATCCAAATCCTTGGCTAAATTATACAATAGCTCACTCAGATGCCTGTTTTCTTCAATCTCCGGTAGCTTCACAAAGAAACTGGAGTACTGCAGCAGGATTGGAAAAGGCTGATACATGAGCCTTCAAATAGACAATGCTAATGTAAAATGGCTACAATAACATACTTCTATAATTAGCCTCCTATTCTCTCTCCCCTTTGCACAAAATATTAGAATATTTTCCCCAAATTACAATTATTAAGATATGGAATAGCAGTCAGATGGTTGACCAAAACTAAATCATTTTTTTAAAAAAAATAAGATTCCAATAGTAACATATTAGTTTCCAACAGAAACTAAAAACAATCTGCTTTTAATACAAATATACTGAATTTTCAATATTTATTTTATATTTCTCATACAGTACCTCCATTCTTTTATTTTGTATCAAAACTTATATTATCTAGTAAGCTAGATTTTTTGGGGAAGTAGCTATTAGCTATGAGATCAAATTTTCTGAAAAATAATTTTACAATATTTTTTGAGAAATAATTATTGCGATCTTTTTGTGTGATACGTTCATTTTTCTATCTACAGTGAATAAAAAGTTTATATACACCTGTTAAAATGCCATGTAAATGTAAAAAAAAAATCTGAGATAAATCACATCATTTTTAATATAATGTATAAACTGTACAATTCAATTGAAAAACAAACTGAAATCTTTTAGGGAAAAAATAACAATAAAAATGTACAATAACTTGGTTGCATAAGTTGTATAACCCTTAAACTAATATTTTGTTGAAACATCTTTTGATTTGGGATAGGAGCCTATCAACATGGCAAATTTTGCCATGGGAATTTTTGCTCACTCATCTTGTAAAAGTGCACCAAGTCTATCAAATTGTGAGGACATTCTCTTCAGGTCAGCCCCACAGATTATCAACTCGATTCTGAAACTTTGGCCTTCTTTTGTTGATTTGGATTGTTGTTGTGTTGAAAAGTGAAATTATTCTTCATCTTCAGCATTTTAGCAGAGGCTGAAGGTTTTGTGCCAAAATGGACTAATATTTGGAACTGCTCATAATTCACTCCACCTGTCAGGGTTCCAGGAATTATCTGTTCTAATCAGTAACTCCGAGACAACCATAATCTCAAAGTGCTTTATTCAAAAAGAAACTTGGCACGTCTGGGGAATTCCAGAACTAAAGTTTCCTTTCAGACTTCCCACAAGACTCAACCTATACCCACCCCTTTTCTTTCACATCATAAATCACGTGAAGCAATCACCCTTCAGCTACAATTCTTCCTGTGCCATAGAGAATGACCTTGAAGATTTTATATATCTATTTTGTCTACTGAAAGCTACTCAAATAACAGCATTTCCCTTCTATCCTCCGCAGCTGTGTGGCAGCTTTTAATAAGGATTTCAAAGCTGACACCACCTTGACTAAATTCCCAGTTTCAGATAAAGAAAAGCACTCAAAGCATAAAGCTTCCACCATCAAACTTCACTGTGCATATAGTGTACTTTTGGTGATGCACAGTGTTATTTTTGCATCAAATATACGTTTTGGAATTATGCCCCAAAATTTCAATCTTGGTCTCATCAGACCATAGCACATTTTTCTATATGCTTTTGTCAGATTTGATGTAGGTTTTGGCAAAATGTGGCTGAGCCTGTATGTTTTCCTTGGTAAAAAAAAGGCTTATGTATTTCCACCCTACCTCACACCCCAGATATAGGAAGAAAATGGGAGATTGTTGACATAATATGTATAGTGCATAATCCAAGAGCGTCAAACTCATGGGCTGCGGGCCGGATGAGCCACGGACTGGTGACACCCATCTCCAGTTTAGTGAAGGGGAAAAGTAATGATATGTCATGTGATGATGATGTGATGACACAAGTTTGATACCCCTGACACCAGTACTTGCCAAAGTTTCCTGCAGCTCCTTAAATCTTGTGAAGGCCCATTGGATCAGTTTTCTTCTTGCTTTTCATTAATTTTGGATGGACATCCAGTTTTTGATAATGTCACTATTGTGCCATATTTTTTCCACTTGTTGACAACAGTCTTCATTGTTTTACATGGTATAACCAATGCCTTGGAAATTTTTCTGTACTCTTTTCCTGACTGATACCTTCCAACAATTAGACCTGTTTGATTCTTTATAAACTCTTTGCAGATCATATCTTTTGCTGTCAGCGGCAACTGAGTCAATCCTACTAGAACAGCTGGATTTTATATGGACTTGGTCAGACTCACTTTAATTGATGGTAGATGTGTATTATTTAACATCACTTTGAATATGATTAGTTACTTCTGCACCCAGCCGTTGCCCTACTTATAAAGGGTATTGTTAGTTTTATTATTTTATTCTCCCTAAAAGATTTCAGTGTTTTTCAATTGAATTGTACAAGCTAATATGTTATATTAAAGATAGAAAAAATTCTGAAGTCTGGTTTTTTTACATTCAAAAATGTATTTAGAAATATAAATAATTTGCTTAGTATAACTGAGAATTAACTACGCCATATTCTGTTTTGTGAATCAACAATTGTTATTTTATATTTTGATGTTATTTCTAATAAAAGAATAATATGTGAACATATTTTTGTATTAAACATTTTTCCCATTCAAAGTGCATATGGAGTGGCTTTGACTCTGGTAGATTTTGGTTGTCCAATTTCAGTACTAGTATATATTCTGATTCATGAGGATCTTAGAGAACCATCTGATTTGCCTTTCTTTGGGAAGCTTTCCATTACAAGAAAGATCCTCATTCAAATTAGTTGCTTTGGATAGTTTAATCTGGCTCCAAAGGCAGCATCTGCAGAAAGGTGGGTCACTGAATGCATTGACCCAGCAGCTTTGCAAGCTGGCGTACAGATGTGCCCGCAGCTTGAAATCTGGTATGAATTCCTCTGAGTGGTAACATGCAATGTGCCATTCAGTTATTCTGCTGTCTGGATTTTCTCCTTTCCTCATCTCCTTTCCCTGTGCATCTATTCTATCTGTGGTGGTATGCTGCGCATTGAATTTCACAGTATGAATGTTGCTCTTTTTCAAATTATTGCTAATTTATGTATTTTTATTTATTAAATTCATATAGCTGCCCATCTTTGTGAGAATGGTAATTTTTTTCAACAGCAGACTAATCGAATGCAAACAAATGTATGTAGTAGTGAAATATCTCTCAAAGCTAGTACTGAAGAACCAAAGTTTTCATATTCACAGTAGGATGCTTATGGTGACTTCAAGAAATTATACTGGGAATGTGGCTTGCTCTATGTTTTGTCTTTAAATACTCTTTGTTTTACATTGTGCTCTTTGGCATGTAAAAGATTTATTACATTCTACTTAGGAGCAATCTTTTTTGATATTTGTAGGCCCTGGTCCACAGATAGTCTCTTCACTCTTCTATGTATTTGTCCAAGAAATTAATGGAGCAAGGAATCTTAGCAACCAACTGCTGCTAGGGTCTCTGTGTCACAGTTTCTTCTGTTTTTTTGTATAGTGATTAATAGTTTTCCTGAAGATAAATATTTTCATCAAACCCACTGTGAGATGCATAGGTGGGAACACCTGCAGAATTTCCATGTCTTTATGATATACAGTCTTGGGATGAAGAAAGGTTACAGAGTCTGTTTTGTACTATTCATTAATACCCCTTTGTTGACTTCAGTGCCCACCATATGGATTTAAGATTCTGTAACAAAAAGAGCAGCCATATATGTCAAAGCCAATAATTTAAACTCTGGAGAATGTAACTTAAATGAAAAAGAACTTGATGTTGTGCTTTGGAGAAAGTTTGTAAGATTCCTGCTATATATTGCATGTTAGCCTAATCTGGCAGGATTATACTAACTACATGTTAACATACTGAGGTAAGACCTCCAGTGAATGGATGTAGCACATGTATTTATGAACAATTTGCAATTACTAGCGCAACTTGGCTACATTATGATGGCTGTGTCGCTCTAATAGGACTAAAAAAAGCCACACTTACACACAGTTCTATTTCTCAATTCACATACCTTCAAATATTTTTCCCAGCCTCTGAAAGGTTAGAGATTCATTTCATCATATACATACAGCGATCTCTGTGGTTAGATATTCAGTGCTTAAGGCAGTGCATAGAGCTTGAATTCTTTATTCTTTGACAATACAATATTACTTTGCTAGCAAGAAATGATGTTGGTCTTTACTAGTTTTACTAAATACATTTTCATTTTATTTTTTGTTGGTACAGATTCCAGTTTACAGATTTGCCAACACAAATCACCAACATGTTGCACTAAGAAAATGGAAGAAAATTATCAAGCAGCTGTTAGAAGAGAGAGAATAGAGAACACTCAGACTCTAAACTTTGAATTGAAATATATGATTGTTGGTCACATTACAGCTTTTCAAGGTAGGAACGCTGACAATTTTATTTAAACATTTAAAATCATGTTTGCTATATCACTTATTCCAACATGGTAATACTAGTCAGAGTGACTATGGGTGCCTTATACTTTAAAAGAATAAATAAAAAGAACAGACGTGACTATGATTGTCTTGACAAAATATACTACATATAAAAATACAAGAAAGGCTCTACAACCACCATTTCCCAAAACCTGAAAGAAAGCCAGATTTTAAAAGACTTTTGGAGCAGAATAGGGGCAAAAACCTAAAAACACGATATAAAAGAAACAGTTCTCTAACACTGTCATCAGTCCTCAGAGATGCACTTATGAAATACAAGTTCTGCTTCAATATTGTGCAATGTCATATATCTAGAACTGTGATTTTAGGAATGGGTGTGCATAAGGTAATGCTTGACACTAATCATTTTAATACTTTCAGCATTATAGTTTGATGAAAAGCATTACATTAAAGCACATTTTTTACTTTATGATAAAGTACAATTTTAAGGTAGCCTCCCTCTTTAAAAAAAGAATACAAGAAGTTATATTACCTGTATTTATAGAGTGTGTATTCCCTTCCCCCAGTCCTTCTATGCTGCCTTATTGTGGCAAGGGGATATTCCTGGGAGGGATAAGTGCTGAGAATGCATGGCAAGCATATCTATTCCCACAGGGTCACTCAAGGTATGAAGGTTATCCTGATTACCCAATTACAGCAAGCAGACTTCTGTGGTGGGCAGCAGCAATGTAGGAAGATGTTGGAGGTAAATGTTGACTTAAGTGATAATGGCAATGTCTAGTTGCTGATGTTGCCACATAAGAAAAGAAAACCCAAGCTGCAAAGGCAACCACAGAGGGAAGACAGAACATAGTTCAAATGAAATGAATAATCTATACACTGATAATTTAGGCTTCAGTGAACTGGACTGGAGTTGGATGTGTTCTGTCCAAAACACACTGATTATTATTCAAGACCTGAGAAACAAAAATGGAATGGCACTGCTTTCATGATTATGAAGGATATAACTAGGACAGCACATTGTTACAATGTTGTCTACAACTGAATAATATCAGTTACATTATGCAGGCAGACTTTTATTATGATGACTATCCAAATTTCTGTTTCAAGCACTGATGCAGAAGAAGGGGTGGTTGATGAGGTTTCTGAACAAGTTCAGACTGAAATGTGTGAACAAGAACATGGGAAAAAGATGTCTCACTTATGGTTAAAGACTGAAATGCCCAAATTAGAAACAGAAAAGAAGAAAATTCAAAACAATTTTATCAGTTTCTGCTGGTGCAATGTCTTCTTCATTGCTAATACAGACATATAGTCAAGCTAAGTCAAGCTAAAGAAGAAAGTGGGAAAAAGCTAACTGGTTACAACTAACCAGCTAACTGGTTATAATCTTGAGACTATATGCACAATTTTCAGGGGGGCGGGGAATCAAGAATCACTTTGAAGTCTTGAACTTCATTCATAAAATATCCTGCAGATGACCAAGGGTAACAAAGACCTTGGAAAAGATATTCTGATACTATAATATGTCTATGTCTATGTCTATAAAGACCAGTATTGTGTGGACAGTATGATCCCTGTGAGAGTTCATGGAAAATTGGAGTTTGAACAAGCAGGATAGGAAGAATATTGATGCTATCAAAAGTATTAATAGCCAAGAAAATAAAATAAAATAATAACTCTAGGGCTCTATCCCAAGGAAAAAACAATCAAGCTAAAATTAACATATTTGGGGCACATTATATTCCAAATTATGTTCCCCTATTTGGCAAGAGATCAGTGTGCTAAGAGTCAAACTATGCTGTCATTTAGGAATTAACATTGACTTGATGACATATAATCAATCTCCTGCCACTATTAGGCTTCCATTTTGTAGGACTGGTTTCTGTATGATTTCTGTTTTGTGGGACTGGTCCTATATTCTACAGAAACATGCAATAAATTTATGGTGTCATTAATTTCTATATGAACACAGAATAGGTGTTGCTGTAGATTAAGGAGAACTTCATACTATCCTTAATGAACAGGTTTTCATATTTTAGGTAATTTGCATACCAGATCACAAGCAAAACACAGCAGGCAGCTGTTTCCACTTGTTTGTCCCTAAGGGTTTCACACTTTTATAAATGTATTGTTACTTGGATGGATGGTAGAAATTTGCTTTGGCTGTTTGGTATTCTAAACTGCAAGCAATAGAGGAGGGGAACTGGGATGAAGGGATGTGGAAGAAGCAATTTGTTTTATTTCACTGCCTGGAAGAAAATAGTCTTCTACATAGTTCTGAAAATCGAGTCCCATTTGACTCCTCTGCTTGCCAAAGGGGAAATACAGAGCCATTGTTGACTGACAGTGAATTAGTCAAGTGATCTTTCAGCATCATTATAGAATAAAGCAAAGGTCAGAATAGATTAACCTGTCAGACCCTGAGGTCAGTCAAGCAGCTTTATTGCTTAACTGAGTGAAATCAGTCATTAGACTTTTCAAAGTAGCTTGAATTTACAAGCACTTTCCTGAAATAGCTGCCATATTATTGTATTGTAAATGATTATAAACTTGTTTTGTCCACCTTAGGTGAGATTATGCCAGCATTTCAGCTTTGCCTTCTTAAAGTCTCAAAGGGTCATTTGTTCCTTGAGTTGGTTGAGGTTTCAAAAGGTGCTTTAAATCCTTTATTCAGATGACACTATATCCACATTCTATTGCTCAAGCAGGGATCTTTGGTTTTCATTTTTTTTTTCATTATAAAATAATTTCCCCTGCATTTAGCTTTGTTTATTGTTCTGTGACATCATTATGAAACATTAAAGGCAGAATGCCTCAAGCTGATCTGCTGACATAAGCCCCTTTCACTTTTTTATGAGGAAAAGTGTTGTGCTGGTGGAACTATTGATACTTGGGCTGAATATCAAATTAGCCAATTTAAAACCTCAATAATTGGTAATATGTATTTCTAGGAACCTATGATCTTTCCTTTCCTTTCCTTTCCTTTCCTTTCCTTTCCTTTCCTTTCCTTTCCTTTCCTTTCCTTT